ATCATTCTCATGGACTCCCAAGAATCCTCAAAATGTGGCAGATCACTCCAGTGAACCAGTACCTCCAGATTGCCATCTGCATCAACCCTTGTGTCTAAGATATCTTCTGGCACCACCTGTAACTCCAATTCCTCACTCAGACACTTTGGAAGAGGTTGAGAGTATGTAGTGGATGAGATAGCTTTCTTGAGCAAAGAGATATGAAATACCGGATGTATTTTACAATCTTCTGGCAACTTCAGCTTAAAAGCCATAGAACTGAGCTTATCAGCTATCTCAAATGGACCATAAAATCTTGGGCTTAACTTCTGGTTTATCCTTTTAGCTAAACTCCTTAGCTTATAAGGTTGGATCTTCAAATAGACCTGATCCCCTATCTCCAATGTGACCTCTCTTCTATGCTTATTTGCTTGCTGCCTCATCTGATTCTGAGCCCTTGCCAAATTCTCTTTCAACTCATCCAATATAATATTCCTTTGAGCAGTCAACTTGGATACTTCTTCTACCGCAGTCATTGTAACATCACCCCTAATGACTGCAGGTGGGTCTTGCCCAAACAAAGCCTTGTAAGGAGTGATTTTCAGTGCAGCATGATAATTGGTATTGTACCAATGCTCAGCCCAATGCAATCAATTAAGCCATTTCATAGGTTTTCTTCCAGTCAAACATCTGAGATAGGTTTCCAAGCATCTATTTACCACCTCAGTTTGGCCATCCGTTTGAGGGTGGTAAGCTGTACTGTACTTTAATTGTGTCCCTTCTAATTTGAATAGTTCTGACCAGAAAGCACTGAGGAATACACTATCTCTGTCGCTGACTATTGTTTTAGGAAACCCGTGGAGTCTGACCACTTCTTTAATGAACACATCAGCCACCTCCTTAGCATTGTAGGGATGTGATAGAGCAATAAAATGAGTGTATTTAGTCAATCTATCCACAATGACTAAAATAATATCCTTTCCTTGTGATTTGGGTAAGCCCCCAATAAATTCCATGCTAATGTCTGTCCAGATGCTATTCGGAATAGGGAGTGGTTGTAGTAGCCATGCAGGTTTTAAAGCTTGGTACTTATTAGTTTGGCAAACCACACATTCTTCCACCCATTTTTTGATATCCTTCCTCATACCCTGCCAAAAGAAAAGAGTGGATACTCTTTTCATTGTTCTAAAATATCCTGAATGTCCTCCAATTGCAGATTCATGATATTCCTTCATGATCTTGGTGATTCTGGGTGAACCTTGAGGTAGAACCAATCTCTTGTTATAGTACAACAAGCCTTTGATAATCTGGAATTCTGAGTATTGATCTGGATGAGAAATTACTTTCTGAATTAACTCTGCACACTTGATGTCAGATTTCAATTCTTCCTCCAAACCTTCCCATTCTTGACATGTGACAATTGAAAGAGACAGGAGCAAAGGTCTTCTAGATAGAGCATCAGCAGCTTTGTTTTCTATCCCAGGTCTATACCTTATGATGAAGTTATATCCCAACAGCTTAGAAGTCCACTTTTGTTGCTCTTCTCCCATCAGTCTTTGCTCAGTCAAGAATTTTAGACTCTTTTGATCAGTTACAATCTCAAAAGTCCTTCCCAACAAATAGGGCCTCCACTTTTGTACTGCCAGAACAATAGCCAAGAGCTCCCGTTCATATACTGATATGTTTTGGTTTCTTTTGGATAAAACATTGCTCATAAAAGCCACAGGTTTGCCTTCTTGCATGAGAACTGCACCTAACCCAGTTCCAGAGGCATCAGTCTCTACAATGAATGTCTTATTGAAATTAGGTGTAGCTAGGACTGGGAGTGATGTCATGGTTTTCTTCAACTCCTCAAAAGCTTGTGTAGCTTCTTCCCCCCATTGAAAACTGTCCTTCTTTAGGAGTTGTGTAAGGGGTGCTGCAATATTGCTAGACCCTCTTACAAATCTGCTGTAATAGCCAGTTAACCCCAGAAACCCTCTCAATTCTTTCAAATTCTGAGGTACTGGCCAAGTAACCATGACTTCAATCTTGGTAAGGTCAGCTGTTATTCGTGCTTCAGAAATAATATGCCCTAAGTAGACTAGTTGAGGTTGTCCAAAAGAGCATTTTTTAGGTTAATCACCAACTGATTATCCCTCAAAGCAGATAGGACTGCTCTTAAATGCTCTATGTGATCCTCCTTAGTTCTACTATATACCAAGATATCATCGAAAAAACACTAAAGCACACTTCCTCAAATAAGGCCTTAGTACTTGGTTCATCAAGGATTGAAATGTAGAGGGAGCGTTAGTTAAGCCAAAAGGCATTACCAAATATTCGTAATGACCCTCGTGTGTTCTGAAAGCTGTCTTCTCCCTATCTTCTTCTTTCATCCGGATCTGGTGATAACCAGATTTGAGATCCAGTTTAGAGAATATGGTTGCCTCCCCAAGTTCATCAAGTAACTCTTCAATGACTGGAATTGGATATTTATCAGGAATTGTGATTTTGTTCAAAGCTCTGTAATCTCCACAGAACCGCCAGCCACCATCTTTCTTCTTGGCTAAGAGAATGGGGTTGCTATATGGGCTGTTGCTATGCTGGATGATCCCAGAGTCAAGCATCTCCTTCACAATCTTCTCAATTTCAGTCTTCTGGTACTGAGAGTACCGGTAAGGTCTGATATTAGGTATTTTAGCCTCCTCCTGAATGTTAATTGAGTGATCACAATCCCTTCTAGGAGGTAAACCATCTCTAGGTTTTGAAACTTCTGGAAATTCTTCTAAAATCTACTTCCAAATAGATTTCAGTCCTCCTTCATTCTCCATTTCTATAGTCTTCCCTTCACAATATAAGAAGTAACCATCTCCATTATCATTCAATATTTGTGAAAAGGTTTTCAATGATACTTCCATGGAATTCAGATTTGGATCTCCTTGGATGAACACCTCCCGCTTCCCCTGCTCCCATTTAATAGTCTGTTTCTGAAAATTTATTTCTACATCCCCCAAGCTTGTCAACCAATCCATACCCAGTACCATATCTGTCCCTCCCAGATTTAGGATATAAAAATCCTGTACAATATCAACACCTTGTAAGCTTAACCTCATATGTGGACACTTCTTATTATTGGATATCTGCTCCCCATTACCAATTTGTACCTTATAACCAGAAATGGTCTGGAAAGGTAGTTGCCATTGCTCAACCAACTTTTGTGAAATAAAGTTGTGTGTGGCCCCACTATCAATTAGTACCTTTACCCGTTGATTTTTTGCCTTTCCTTTCAGAATTCCCTGCACCTTAAAAGCCCTCAAAGTTGGAATCCCTTCTTTGCTCATCAAAGATAACTGCATAGATTTAGATTCCATTGCTTCTTCAGAGACACTTTCTTGAACTGTTATATCATTCACTTCTGATTGTTCTTCCTCAGCAGAATCTTCCACTAACATTAACTTGTAATTCTTCAATTTACAAGTATGTTCCTTGTTCCATTTTCACCACACTTAAAACATAGCCCTTTTCTACTTCTCTCCTGAAATTCTTCTTGAGATAACTGAGGCTCTGTCCTTCTGATTCCAGATGGATAAGCGTCAGTAATCTTCTTGCCAGCCTTGTCAATTCCAGAATTGTTGTTCTTACTGTCTTCTACAGTTTTATTCTGATAGGGCCAAATGTAGCCAGCTTTGATTTTGTAATTTCCTCCCCAACTCTGCGGTTTAGCTGGTACAGAACCTCTTTCCCTTCCTTGAATCTTGTCCTCCTCCTTTCTTTTTAAAAATTGAGTTTCAATCTTCTGTTCAATGAGTATAGCTTTATCCATGATCTCATATAAAGACTTGGATGCATATAATTTCAACTCAGATTCGATTTCATCTTTCAAACCTGTAATGAAAACCCCTCGTAACAACTCCTTGTCCATATGCAACTGTGTAGCTATTACCATTTCAAATTCTTCTCTATAATCTTGCACACTTCCGATTTGCTTCAAACTCAACATGGGCCCATATGGATTTTGAATCAGTTTTGGTTGAAACCTGTGAATGACAGATTTCTTCAATGTATCCCAACTTGTTTCCTCTATTTGGTTCTCCCACAGATGAAACCAATTCAGTGCCCTATCTTCCATCGCAATCATAGATGTTTCCACTTTTTCTTCCTCTTCGATATGATTTAAGCGAAAGTACCTCTCCATGCGTATAATCCAATTGTAGGCTCCTTCGCCATTGAATAAAGGTAAATCTACCTTTCTACCATGTACTCTACCCCTTTCATCATTACGAGGAACAATATGAACATGCGAGTGAACCGAGTTACCTCTGGAAGTAGTCGGACTGCGCGAAGTTCTCATATGTGGTCGCGATGGTGTTCGCGACCTCATTCTGCTCTGACGCTCTTCATTCAACGTCGCCAAAGATGCGATAACCGTATCCAATGCAGATTTCACCTCCTGATAGTTCCGCTCCACAGCTTCCAACCTATTCTCCATTTTCCTCTTGTTCTAACCATTCACAGATCAAACGAGGGTTTTCCGATAGTTGCGCTCAACTTCCGATCACCAGCGCTGCTTCTCCAGAGTCGTATGCTCTGATACCAAATGATAGAGCTCGAATCATATAGTATGAAATAACAGAATATCAATGAACACACACAGAACACACAATTTATTCAATCCAGTCAAAGTATACAAAGTTTAGACAATTCGAGATGTCCAATCTCCCAGTCCTGTTCTAGCCAAAATCCAACCTCCTTCTGTTAGTTGAACATCTCTATTTATAGTAAAGATCCACGCAGGGACAACAGACTAACTAACTAACCCTCCTATTAGTTATTAGTTATTAGCAGTAGTCTTATTACTTCTTCTTTTGTACACTTTATTATAAAATTCTACCGGTTGCCTTGCTGCTTGTCTAACAATTAACGAAAGGCCCAATGGCTCAAACGCCCAAAATTAGCAATCCGCCCAGACTTTTGAGAATAGGCTGATTTTTCAGCACAATGTAAAGTTTTATCGTATCCGACCTCCAAAAGGCCAAAGAATACAAAAACGTCCTGCCAAGATTAACGAAAGGCCCAAAGGCTCAAACGCCCAAAATTAGCAAACCGCCCAGACTTGAGGAAGCTGATCAGGCATCTCGGGATCGACTCATCGACACCCAGGCATCTGTCATCCTCGACCGGTCGAAGTGTCGAACTCCCTGCCAATTCGCTGACTCCTCTCGCGGCTTCGCCTTCCGACATACATCAGCACGCAGCAAGGAAGCACCGCCACGCCACCAGGCGCCAGCACCGCACCACGCCTCGTTAGTCGTAGCCTGCGGCACTCCGCCGCTCACCCTTCAGTGGTTCAGCTCATCGGCCCTTCTCAATTGTCACCTTCCCACCTTCCGTAGTTCCGGTATTCCTCCAGTGCTCTTTTATTGATTAGTTCATTAATTGATTTAATTCATAGTTGTTTATAATTATTTAGTTAAATTAATGATATTGTTGTTTGTTGAAACCTAAGCGAATTCTGGAAAACCTAATCAAACTCTGATATAGGTACCCTATTACTTTCACATTGTTGTTTTTGTGATTTTCATCAGATCTACAAATTTAGCTTTTGATTTATTTAAATGCAGCACCAGACCCATTCAAAAAACCTAAGATATTCGATCTTTACCTAAGATCTCAAAATGGAAGAAAAAATCACTGTTTTCGAAATCAAGAATCAGGAATAATACTACGTAGTATTTAAATAATACAAATCAGAAGTGTGAACTGTTCTACCAGCTCAAAAATCCATTTCACATAAAAAGTTATGTTGTTGATATGCATGATAGGTGCATAAAGTATATGCTTACCCCATATTTGTATTGGGCCTCAGCCTGTAGGCTTGTTCGAACGGCAAAGTGCAAACCATATTTTTTCAAGTAAGAAAGTGGTTACACAAAGGAAATAATTTTCTGGATTTATTGATTTTGTAGTTATTTTGTACATTTACACTACTGTATTTGGGAAAGCATGGGTGCATGGCTACTGAGGACTGTAATGGACTTATTTGTATATCTCGTGTGATATTTTTTGGGGGGTCGTATTCCAGAGATGTGAAAAGTTGAACATTTATTCAAGTTTACATCGGAATTCCAAAAGCCATATGAATGTTACAAGAATTGTTCCATCATTAATACACACTTGGAATACTTGATAGAGTACTTTTTATAAGTAATCTGTTGGCAGCTTACTTGAACACCTGATTTGATTAGCTATGTTTTCCCCGGTGGTGACTCAAACTCAAGAGTCAAGACCTTTAACATGGACAGAACTTAAGTGTGAGAGTTGATCTAATTGGAACACCTCCACTCTTTTTAATTAGTTCATATGTTTGATTTTTGTTTCTTAGTACTAGAACTAACCTATACTTAATAAATTCCGTAATTTGTACTCCCTCTGTCCCGAATTGAGGTTCAAAAGTTGACTGGCATGGGGATTTAAGAAGTATAGAAATTAGAGTTAACTTTACCATTCTGCCCTTTCTTTTATAATGAGTAAGAACAATTCCTGGACAAAGTACTCTACAAACATACTGTTCAAACCATTACAAAACCAACTGGAAGATAATACTCCGTACAAAGTACTTCCATTTTACAGAGCTGAGTCTTGTTTTGATTTGGGAAAATGGGGAGAAAGAAGGGTGTGAAAGTGATGTGATAGTGAAAAGAGATGGATGAGAACTAATAATCGGATGGATGGATGGCAGATTAGAAGGGTAGGAGGGAGTAAGGGTAAACTTGTCATTTTGATCATATTTCTATAACTTAAATGGAAAGTGGAAAATCATTTTGGAACGATATAAAAATGAAATTTTACAAAACAAATTGGGACGGAGGGAGTATGCATTACATCCAAAGCCAGCAAACTTAATTAGTTAAGTACAAGAAGTGTTAGATTTAGAGTTGCATAAGACAACTATTAACTTCTGCAGAACATCTCCTGAGTATGCTCTCATGTAAAAGTACAATGAAAAGAAACAGTAATAAACTAATAATCCCTCCGCCCCCCGAACTTTGTCCCGTTTTTACCTTTTTCGTCCGTCCCATTAAGTTTGTCTCATACCATATTTGGTAATATTTGAGTGGTTAGAATTCATTCTTACTTTATTCACACCTTATCAATTTGATACCAACCACACAATTCCACTTTTTCTTAAAAACCACACCACACCCCTTTGTTCCAAACTTAGAGGGACGGAGGTAGTAATATTATGATTCCACACTTATTAATACTAGATTCTCACCCGTGCGTTGCCCGCGATATATATTAAGTAATAGCTATAACATATGATTTGTTAACATTATTAGTTAGTATAGATGTAATACACGCAAAAACTTTAATTAGGGAAAAGATAGTTACGTCTCATAATTGTTACGAAGTATGTTTTGGAATAAAAGGGAATAAATAAATACTCCCTCCGTCCCGAAAAGGTTGGCCAAAGTTGATTTTCACGTGGATTAATAAAGTAAAAACTGTGTAGTTGAAATTTGTGCAGAGGAGAGAATTAATTTTAGCCACATATTCCTTACTTTAAATGAAAATGTCAAATCTTTTGGGACCATCCAAAAAAGGAAATTTGACCAACCTTTTCGGGACGGAGGGAGTATAATAATAAGGTTTCCACTGCATACACATTTTGAAACGCTTTCCTATAAACAGCATTGGTAGTATGCTCAATTTGTTCATCATCTTTACCTTAAATTTCAGTTATCAATTAATCTTTCTTTTAGTCATATTCAGCAAATTTTCTCTAAATGATACAGAGTATTATAGTAAAAATATTAATAAATAATATCCTAATAATATTCAATCAAAATAACAATCATAATAATATTTTAATTATAATAACAACAATAATAATCATAACATTAATCATCAGAAACATTATATTGTTTTTACTTGGACTTATTTCAGTCCCAATCCATACCAAATCAGTTCAGACCAGACTTCAATACTTGTAGAATAGGACTATACATTTACTACACCAAGTCAGTTCAGACCAGAAAATTTCAGTAGAAATAAAAAGCCCAATAATATAATAACAATCATAGAAAGATAACAATAATAATCATAATAATAATAAAAAAATCGAACAATATAATTATAATCCTAATTAAATATATTTCACAAAGTCCAATTCAGATTTGAAATTAAAATACCAATATTTAATAAAGTTTAAATCAGCCAGGCCCTATACTGTATTTTAAATCTACCAATTGCAGCAACTTAAACCATCGTGTGTTAAACATTTGTTCTTCCGCTGACCGTCATCCATTTGTGTGGTATTGATAGATGTTCCATTATTCCGGCTGAGGTAAAACCAAAGAATCTCAAACCACGTCTACCATCGTTTCGTGATTTTGGTTTATCCCCTTCATCTTCGTCGTCTTATTGTGATTTTCTTGAACAGTTAAGTAATTGAATTTCTTTATCAGTTTGTCCATGCATACACTCGTTATTGTGATTATTTACATGTGTAGTTGCATATGATTTGGCCATAAATTGCATGTTTAACAGATTTATATTGTATCCGTATTTTGTAGCAACAAAATACCTCTTTAATAGATTCATTTACTTGGCTAAACCTATGCTAATTTGTGAAAATGATGTATACCTATTTGTGTTATTAAATGCCAACATTTGTGAAATTCAGGATTTAACCTAGCCGCTATCGATTTTGTGATATAGGATGTCTTCGTTTAAGTCCTAGATAAAACACGACATTGTATTTTGGATACATCTATGCAGATTTTTTTAATTGGTTAAATTGGTCTGTGATACGTGAAATATATAACTATTACACATATTTCAAACGGATTAATTTAAAACTTACTTCATCCATAGTTTTTGTTAGTAAATATTTTTTTTAAAGGTCACTATAACAGTTTATTTAAGAAAAAAAAGCAGTAAATTGAACTGTCTAAGAGTTTGTAAATTGACATTTAAATGACCAAATGACATTTAAATTTCCAAAAGTTTGACATCCAAAAGTTTCTATACCAAAAGTTATTACTTAAAATAATATAAGTTGAAAATGACATTTAACTATCTAGATTTGTTTTTTAGCTTGTAAATTGAACTGCCTAAACTACTTCAACCATTATACTAAAGCTTTTATTCAAGAAAATGTGTGAAACCTTGTACTTTATTGAAAATCTTTGAGTCTGCCTTGTTAACACTATATTGAATTACCAAAACCTTTTATTCAGAGATGGATGAGAATTAATAATTGGATGGATGGATGGATGGCGGATTAGAAGGGTAGGAGGGAACAAGGGTAAACTTGTCATTTTGATCATATTTCTATACCTAAAATGGAAAGTGGAAAATCATTTTGGAACGATATAAATAGGAAATTTTGCAAAACAAATTGGGACGAAGGGAGTATGCATTACACCCAAAGCCAGCAAACTTAATTAGTTAAGTACAAGAAGTGTTAGACTTGGAGTTGCATAAGACAACTATTAACTTCTGCAGAACATCTCCTGAGTATGCTCTCATGTAAAAGTACAATGAAAAGAAACAGTAATAAACTAATAATATTATGATTCCACTCTTGTTAATATATTCTTATGTTATTGACCATTGATCAAACAACTGCTAACCTTATTTTATTCTTAGATGGCGAATGGATCTCAAATCCGCCCCAACAGCTCAGCACTTATTGCAATGATTGCTGATGAGGTAGAGACTCTTACTTCTCTGTGTAGCATGCAGTTCTTTGTTTGCATTTGTTTATAAATGCATCACTGGCCAAAGATGCTTAATTCATAGCGTGTTTGCTAATCTCAAACTTTTGTGCAACCTTGCTATAACTTGTTTTAACAAGTTATACTTTGATGATATAAAATTTGCGAGGCATTTTGGTCCGCAACATTGTCTTCATTGATGAAGAAGCACATAATCATGTGGTGAAGTCTATAGTGATCATACAAAAGTACACCTGATTACTTGGTTACTTTAATGGAGCTTTTAAGTTTAAGTGCTTGATTAGATATGTTTTTTCCCATGCTCAACAGTGCTCAAGAGATGTATAATGGTTTGTCCCAAGGGTCAAGTGTTTATTACTCCCTCCACCCGAATTGTAAGGCACTTTACGGTTTACGATGTTTGACCGATGATAAAGCAAATGGATCCTTGTCCGCACTCAAATTATTTTTAGAAAAAGAGAATTACATATTCAGAAACTACATTAAAAGCTTTACAAAGTCGCAAAAACCATAATCAAATTTCATTAAAATTTGATTCATAAAGTAAGCGATTAAGAGTGATTTGTGTTGACCAAGTGAATAGGAAAAGTATCTTAATAGGGAGTACTAATTTGCCATTACAAAACTTTTTTACAAAAAATGTAACCCGTTTGATCAATAAACAATTTGTATCTATTCTGTGTATTAAAAAATCTTTATAGTTTTAGGCGCGATGGGTGTTGTAATTCTTTGTACTTCACATGGTATGATGACAGACCGAGAGAGCCGACTGCAAATAAATGGGCGGATATTTTGTGTTATTTATGTTAATATTTTCAATATCCAATCTGGATCTAAACATTCTTTGTGTATGATAGGTGAGATATAAAAATGTTGTAATCTAGACTATCTAGTTCTATCACTGTTAGTTATTCCAAGGTCGCCTAATTTTGTTGTTGTTTAGTACAAGATGAACCCACTTACATATTTTAGAGCTATTTGTTGGTTTAACTAAACTCGTGATAATAACTTTTCTATTACTCTTTGTGTCACTTTTTGGCAAACTACAAGAACATTTAGCTTCACTTGATCAAACTGAATTTTTTGGATATGGAGAAAACAGTATATTAAAGAGGCCTCTTCTTTGGGACAAAAACAATATAACATTTGGAAAACAGAATTTCTATAACATTTCTCTTTAGCCTTGGAGAAATATATACAAAGGTATAGAGCTCATTTGGTTGGAAGGACGGAATAAATGTGGAATAGAAATTGAATGTCATGGGAAAGTAGTAAGGAAGAATTTGACATCATAGTTTTTTGTTACAAACTCAAATATATGGTCTTTATTTCCCTACATGATCCTACAGAGGATCTCAAGTTTGACTACTCTGCAGTGTTGCATATACCTACATTCACTTAAAACATCTAAATTTAAATTCAACTAGTTTGGTCCCGAGGATGCTCTTATAGCACATGTATAAATTGACATTACACATTCATATGGGTACATTTTGTTACGTCCTACGAAAATACATGGAGGTGCTGAGGTGCATGGCTTTGTTTACATGTGATTTTTTATGCATCAATAGTCTTCATGGAGTTATTAGCTGTCTGACTTCATGTTAATATAGGATACCATTACTGGATTTTTACTGGCTGGAGTAGGCAATGTGGACCTGAGAAGGAAAACAAACTATCTTATTGTCGATTCAAGTACGGATTCATTTTGAGTTCTGATATAGGTGCCTTAAACAGGACTTTCTAACTTCCATGTGAATTGCAATTATGTCATGTTATTTCTCATCATACTTGATTTATTGTAAGTGGTACTAAGTTCAGTTGTTCTAATGGTTGTGTTTTAGAAACTACGGCGAAACAGATTGAAGAAGCTTTCAAAGAGTTCACTACAAGAGAGGACATTGCTATATTGTTAATTAGCCAATATGTAAGTATTCCTTACATAAGTTACTAAAGTTTATCGTCAATCATACTTTCTTTAGAAGTAGAAAGTAAAGATCAAGTTTGCAACTTATATGTACAAGTAGAATATGTATCCTCTTTATTGTGTTCTGCCTGTTATGTACTCATTTCATCCCATATCAGCCCACCAAATACAAAAAATTTAACTCAAAAAGGTCTTGGGAAACCCCTTTAATTACTTTTATGTTTTAGGGTTGAGGTTGTGATGATGATTATTTGCTGCTTCACTTGCTATAAATCAATGTTCAGGTTGCCAACATGATAAGGTTTTTGGTGGATGGGTATAACAAGCCAATTCCAGCCATATTGGAGATTCCTTCAAAGGACCACCCATATGATCCAGCGCACGACTCTGTCCTTTCGCGTGTGAAGCACCTCTTCTCTTCTGATTCTGTGGCATCAGGAAGACGTTGAGGAGCTTGCAACAAAGTTTATATTTATCTATTTTCTTTCTGTTGTTCTGAGGCTTATGTTGTTGTTTCTTCTCCGCGTGTTCCCCTTGGGCTTGCAGGTCTAATAATACTTCGACTATCAAACGTGATGTTTTGTTTCACTTGGCAACAGAACAAATTTCTTTGTGTGTCAGGTCGTCCTTATAAAAGCAACTGGACCCACCTCTTATTCTAAATAATGCTGCTTATTTAATCTAAAGAATGTTTGTTTTCTTTCAGTCTAGTATTCTACTCATATGTGACTTTTTTTTTGATAATTTTTGTGCAAAGAATGGCATTTGCTCATTATTACGGATGGACTGGGCCGGGCCGAACCAGCCCGGAACCGGACTGGACCGCTACTGTACGGGCCCGGACCGGACTGGGCCCGGCTTTTCCGGTTCCGGGCTTTTAGCCCGGTTTGGCGGGTCGGTCGGGCCGGGCTCGGGCCCCTTTTTTGTTGAACCGGCCCGAGTGGTTCGGGCCGGGCCCGAGCTTCTTTTTTTTTTGTTTTTTCAATTTTTTTTCTTTTCCTAGGGTAGGGCTAGGTGTTTTGGGAGGTGGGGGGGGGGGGGGGGGGGGGGGTTGGGGGATAACAAGAAAGGCAAAAAAAAAATTAACATTGAACCGGGCCCGGCCCGGCCTGGTTAGGCTCGGACCTGGGCTGGTTCCGAGCCCAACTACCTAGAAAAAAAGCTCGCCCGGCCCCGGCCCAGAACTGAAGACCGGTCCGGGTCCATCCCTAGCTTTAAAAGACATGACTATTTTTTTTGTCATAAAAACTGAAATATTAAATGAATAGATCGTTTGCCATCTGGCTGATAATATAATCAGGAATAAAATAAAAAAACAATACGCTGATTTGTGATAAACACAAGTGCATTAGGTATGGACTGGGCTCGGGCCGGGATTGGGTGGGACTTGGTTTTTGGGTTGAAGGCTTGGTACCGGCTCGGGTTTGAATCGGGACTAGGTCGGATTGGACTCAAGTCGGGTTAATTTTTTTAAAATTATTCTTTTTTAATTTATTCCTCCCCCCACCCCCACCCCCAAACCTCATCAAAACACTCAGCCCAACCCACCTAACAGCAGCTCATTGCCAAAAAATTAAAAAATATATAATTTGGTCTGAACCGGGCGATCCGGGCTTGGCTCGACCGGTCCAGTCCACTAAAATGAGGGCATGTAGCCCGCCTTTCACCCCTATCCCCGCCGATCCAACATAGTAACGGGCTGGGTTGGGTACCGGGTCGGGTCTAACCAGCCCAGTCCATCCCTAATTCGCTTAATTTGCATACCTTCTACAAAAAGAGATCAAAATTACTCTTTGTTTTCAAAGTCCTGAGTATGTCATCAATAATTAAATGAATGTAAGAGCATCTGTCCCAATCATCACTTTCTGCCACCTTGCCTCTATTGCACTCACAATTGCATTCTTGATACTCAAAATTACTCTTTGTTTTCAAAATCCTGAGTATGTCATCAATAAGTAGATGTATGTAAGAGCATCTGTCTCAATCATCACTTTCTGTCACCTTGCCTCTATTGCACTCACAATTGCATTCCTGATACTCACTGCCCCCCTCCCCCCCCCCCCTCCCCGCGCTATCTGGTGCCTCCCTCCACCCCACAACCATGCTTGCGGCCGTATGAAGCACTCCTCACGCCTCCTTTTTTTTATCTTTCTGGGCCATATTATTCTTTCGTTTCCAAATGCTCCAAAGAATAGAGACAAACCTTGTAGCACCGTCCCCAAGCATATTTACTTTTAATAAATTATGTAATAAACCTTGAAAGATGATTTATTAATTTGCGTAATTGTAAATTTTTATTATTTCTTTTACGTGAATAGTAAATTGCATGTGGGGCCCACGCCGGGACCGGGGGCCGCCCGATAATTCTTGAACCACATATCATATTCATCTTGGCCTAGATAATATGTATATGGTGGTGGATATTTTATTTAGGCCATGGAACGGACATGGGGTTGACCGATGGGTCAAACGAGGCCCAATTATCGGTATTGGTAATGTATCGGATAACAGTCCGAAATGAATTTCGGAGACTCTCAAATTAATGTTGGGGAATGTACACCTATTCTAAAGGCCAATAATCATTAGAAACGTGTGATATATTTTATTTGGTCCGATAAAATAAAATAGAATTTAAAACAGTCCGAGAAATACAACTTTCGGGGCCGATTATACACACCGGGACTTAAAGGGATGACCGCCCACATGAGTGGGGGCCACCCCACGTCTTTATGGACTGAGTGAGAGCAGAAAGGGACATTCAAACATGGGAGGTGCGGACTCATTGAGTGAAGAGATTGCTCAAGACAAGAAATCACTCCCAAGGGCCCATACACATGTATTATCTTGGGAGTTGATTGGGGAGATGTTTCCTCCTTCATTTCACACCACTCGGCCATATCAAGAGGGGAGAACCTCTAGGAAGAGCTCTCACAAGGTCCAAGATAGGAAGAAGCAAGAGGAAAGAAAACCCAACACAAAAAGGCTAAGATTGGAGGTAAGAACTTAGCTAGTATACATTAACTAGTATTTTCTTCTTATGATTTTTAATAAATCATATGGTGGATTAAACCATGAGTTCTACACGTTTAAAAGTGTAGAATATTGATATAAAATGGTGGTATTTAACTTAGAAGAGTTGTGGAATCGATAGGAGTCGAAACCGCCGGAGAACCGCCATTGTTGGGGACTGTTTTCGAGCTGCAGGCCCGAAAGTCGCCCACCTTTCACGAAAGCCGCCCGGCTTTCACCTGATTTCCAGATTTTTCACTCTTGAACGGCCTAGAACGAGGACGGATCGAGGGGGTTTTGCTAAGGCAGCTAGTTGAGCACATCATAAGGTGAGGATGACTGACTATATTGCTTATAATTAGTGAGTTAATTTCATAAGATTGCCTAAGGTAAATGAATGAGATTTTCATGGATTATTCATGATTAATAATGCCTAAATGAAAATAATATTGATATGAGTAGGTGAAGCATGATATACAAATTTAGAATAATTGTGTATGATTATGTGAAATGAATGGAACATCATGTTAATGGAATTACTATGATGACATTGTGATAAAATATACTTTACTTCATGTATGAAATTTATGAATGGATTAAAGTGATATTTTTGATATTGGGATCAAACTATACTTGGGTTGGAAAATCAATTGAAATGAAATGTCAATTGGAAAATAGGAACTTGGCATGTCCTAAGATTTATCCAACTAGTATCAAAATACTAGTCGGGGGATTAATATAAATAAATGATGAAATAAATCCTAAGCGGTAGGATTGTGAATAGATATGCCTTAAGTAGTCTCAAGAGATACTTTAAGGTTGAATTGTATGAACACTAAAGTGTGTTAGGAGTAGGCCTAAAGGCTACCCAAGGGAATTGATTCTAGGCATAGGATTTTCTTGAGAATTGGATTATGAAAATAATTAGAGTTGGACTCTAGGATGACATGGAAATGTAGTTGGACCGAGCCCTTGCCATGTAATATGATTAGCATGGAAACGTAGTTGGGCCGTGCCCTTGCCATGTATTTGTGATCTTCGTGGAAACGTAGTTGGGCCGAGCCCTTGCCACGAAGTTATGGTTGGTATGGAAACGTAGTTGGGCCGAGCCCTTGCCATACAATTTTGATGTGTTACATTGAGTTAGAGGATTGTATAGAAATGTAGTTGGGCCGAGCCCTTGCTATACAATTGGGGCTCGATGGGACCCCACGGGGTTATCGTGACTTGCGGTCACGGGGGAATGGAAATGATGAATTCTAAATGAATATGGGCCCACGGGCCGACTACTTGGCTTCATGTAAAGTAAGTATGATTTAAATAGCAAAAAGGGGTAACCGAGGGTTATGGCCTATAATGTAATATCACCCTGAATTGAGGGTCTTAGAAATTTAAACATTGATTATACTTGGTATAGTTGCTATTGTACTTGTCAAATGTTTCCAAGTACTGACCTCCCCTTCACGGGGGAGGCCACCTCACAGTTTCAGGTAGAACTTGAAGGTTGCTGCCACCGCCCGTTGCTCCGGGAAGATCGAAGGGAGAGGACGTGGTTCGTGCTTCTTCCGTTTCTGTTTTGAAAACAATTTAAAACAATGCTCATGGATAATATTTTCTGAATAATTACCTTGGGGGCTTGCATGCCTAATTATGCCAAGTGTGGCTTGAACACTTGTATTAACCGTTTCCGCTGCTTTAATAAATGTTTTACATTATGTTTGTTTATGGATGTACTATGTGTGAATGGTATTCAAGACGTCTTGTATAGTATGGATGAGTTGGACTGCGGTTGGCTATTCGTAATGTACGGCGGGTTGTTGACGTGTCCAGGTAGGTCCGGGGCGTGACAAACCTGCTCCGGGCTTCCCTATCCGGTTGCTCTAGTTTATGCCGAAGTCATTGTTCCACCGACGAGTGCTCTCTCTCGATCTGAATCCTAGCACACTTCCGAACCTCCTCCACATGAGTGCACGATCGTAGTGCCTGATTCATGGATTCCTCCTGTTCTCCACATAGTTTACAGCCTCCATGGACACTGACCCCCTTCTTCCTCAGATTATTCACCATTGGCAAAGTTTTATCAAGTACATGCCAAGTCAAATATTTGAACTTCGGGGGAACTCGAAGTTCCCAAACACTTCCCCACCTGCTCCAAGCCTCCAATTCCCTACCTACATGTCCCCCATAAGCATCTTGTAGCAGCTTTTAACTTAGAAGACTCCTCTTTTTCCCCATCCACCAAAAGCTGCCTTTCCATAAACTAATAGGAATACTCATAATGTGGGTCCTATCGGCTGAATTAAAAATGCCCCATATTCTCTCTTGGATTCCAATTTTTCCTAATCACATCACGCAGAGCAGCGACATTCATATCCCTGATCCCAGCTGGTCAAGTCGATGTGATTTTTCCAGAGCCTGGTCCTGGTAATCGCTCATCCGTCCATACCTGAACATCAATATCATTTCCCACTCTTCTGACATGATTTTTCAAATTAACTAACGTTCGATTAGTATTATTAATTAACTAAAAGGAATACGTTAATGGCATTAATCATTTAAATTATTAACTAATTCACAATATTCAGGAACATTAATATATTAAATTTCACTAAAGTTCACTAAAATTAACTAACGTTTAATTAATATTATTAATTAACTACACGCAATACATTAATGGCATTAATCACTAAAATTATTAACTAATTCACAATATTAGGATTTCAACGCTAAATACACTAAATTATTATGTTAATGACATTAATTCACAATAATAAAATTATGAAAATCTAATAGTACACAATAAATAATTAACTAACATTTAAGTTAAATGAAATTCAAATAATTCAAAATAATAATTCACACTAAAGTAATGTTTCAATCCTAACTTAAATCATTATAAATCCTAAATTAGGCATTAACAATAATTGTTTATAAACAAACCTAATAATTTTATAAACCTATTTCAATTAACTAATATTTATATTTAACTAATATTATCAATTCAAATCCTAAATTAACGTTACGTATTTACACTTTACCAATATTGTTAGATATTAGTCACAAAACTAAAGTTCACTAATTTAACTTTGTTAATTTACATTTAAGTAATATTGCTAAATATTAGTAATTCACAATAATAATTCCCACTAAACTAATGTTTCGATCCTAACTTAAATCACTACAAATCCTAAATTAGGCATTAACAATAATTGCTAATAAACAAACCTAATAATTTTATAAACCCATTTCAATTAATTAATATTTACATTTAACTCATTTAAATTTAACTAAATTACATTAATAGTTAAATATATTGTTATTAAATTAACAACCTCACTAATTTAACCATTTTAATAATTTAAAATGAAAAACATAATACTTATTAAAAAAAGATACATAATTCAAATGACAAACATCATCTGCATAAACAGGAAAAATGGCATAAGATAGATTATATTCTTCAATCTTTCGACTGATACAGTATTGTACTCTGATTTAATTTTAAACACATGGATGGATCTCACGGATTGTATCATTTATTGTTATTATATTTAAACCAAGTCAAATGCAGTTGCTAAATAATAGGCTAGTGGTGTGAGTGTGTGTGTGGCTGTTATTCAAATAAGTGGTTTAGCTGCTACTTTATTTAGGAAGTCAGTTGCTTAGAAATAGCTTTAAATACATGTGGTTCGTAGCTCTGCATTTTAAGTTGTTCTGAGGTTTATTATTTTCAGTAAAGTTTATGCTTCAGTTTTAATCTTCTTCTTTACTATATAGATTAGTTATATCTATATATTAAATATTTAACATTTGGTATCAAAGCCACTCAATCTTCTCCTCCTAAAATATATTTTTACAGTTAGATATGGCCAATTTTAATATTGTTTGGTCCGGTCCCAAATTAGATGGGAAGCTCGATTATAATTATTGGCAAATCATGATGTCCACACATTTAAAAGCTCAAAATCTCTGGAGCTTTGTGGATCCAGGTTTAGCAGATGGAGCTGATGCAACCGCTACTCGCCGGGATCAACTTGCCTTGGGTCAGATTCACCAAGGTGTTGATTATTCAGTTTTCGGTCAATTGGCTGGTGCCAAGACAGCAAAGGAAGCCTGGGACATCCTAAAGGTGTCATACAAAGGAGTTGATAGAGCCCAGAAATCCAAGTTGCAGTCATTGAGAAGGTTGTACGATCGATGTGAGATGACCTCTACAGAAACAGTAGACAAGTATTTCTCCCGTCTTACGGATCTTGTCAATAAGATGAGATTATACGGAGATAAGATCAAAGATGGTTCAGTGGTTGAAAAAGTTCTTCGGACTATGCCGATGAAGTATGACCATGTGGTGGCTTTTATAACAGAATCACATGACACCGAACTCTTATCAGTTGCAGAATTGAAAGGTATGATAGAAAGTCATATTGAAAGGATTGAGGCAAAAACAGAATCACTAACTGAAGAAGCTTTGAAGAGTCAGGTCACTCTGAACCATACTGAATCGAGTCAAAGAGGCGGAGGATATGTCAGAGGTGGTAGAGGTCGAGGATTTCGAGGAAGAGGACGTGGTGACTTCAGCCACACAAGAGGTGGAGAAAATGTCCAAAAAGAGAAGTTCCCGTTTAATTGCTATTGTTGTGGCAAGTATGGGCACAAGATTGCAGATTGTTGGCACAATCAGAACAATCGAAGCAACCAAGCAAATATAGCTGAGGATCCTGGAGATAATCCTGTTGAAACAGAAACCTTGTTTTTAGCAAGTGACAGTTTATCTGTAGATGAGAACATATGGTTCTTGGACACTGGATGCAGTAACCATATGTGTGGAAGGAAAGAGTTTTTCTCTGAGTTAGATGAATCAGTCAAGTCCGAAGTGACATTCGGCAATAAGTGAAAAGTGCCAATCCTGGGGAAAGGTAAAATCTCAATTCTATTGAAGGACGGTACACAAAACTTTATATCTGATGTTTTCTATGTTCCCGAACTTCACCAAAATTTACTAAGTGTGGGGCAGTTGTCAGAAAAAGGGTATAATATCAGCATTACTCAAGAGTGTTGTACCATTGTAGATGTTAGAGGTGTTTTGGTTGCAAAGGTAAAAATGTCTCAAAATCGACTATTTCCTTTGAAAGTCAGCCATGCACTTCTTTCTTGCTATAATTCTATATAATCTATGATGACAATTGGTTATGGCATATGCGGTTTGGGCATTTCCATTTCTCGGGGCTGAATTATCTAGCAAGAAAGAAACTTGTTTCTGATTTGCCTATTGTGAACATTCCTGATAAGATCTGTGAGATTTGCATGATTGGAAAGAAACACCGAGATCCTTTTCCTGTGGGCAAATCTAGGCGAGCCACAAAACAATTAGAGATTGTACACTCAGACTTGTGTTCACTGGAGGTTCCTTCACATGGAGGTTGTAAGTATTTTATAACTTTCATTGATGATTTGAGTAGGAAGACATGGATTAGTTTTCTGAAGCAAAAATCAGATGCTTGTGATGCTTTAAAACAATTCAAATATTTTGTTGAAAAGCAAAGTGGTTTTGAGATTAAGATTTTGAGAACCGATAGAGGAAGAGAATATATTGTGTGTGATGACTTTCTGAAGAAAAATGGAATTCAACATCAAATGACAACTAGATACACTCCACAACAAAATGGAGTGGCGGAGAGGAAAAATAGATCAATCATGGATATGGTAAGATGTATGTTAAAATCAAAGAATCTGCCCAAGTCTTTCTGGGCAGAAGCTGTTGCTTGTGCTATCCATGTATTGAATAGGTGTCCAAGCAAGAGTGTTCAAGACAGGACACCTGAGGAAGCTTGGAGTGGTAGAAGACCCTCTATCAGGCATCTAAAGGTTTTTGGTTGCTTGGCATATGTACATGTGCCAGATCAGTTGAGAAAAAAACTGGATGATAAAGGAGAAAAGTGTATATTCATTGGTTACAGTGACACATCAAAGGCTTATAAATTATACAACCCTGAAACCAAAAAGGTTGTTATAAGTCGTGATGTCATTTTCGATGAAAGTGGTGCTTGGGATTGGTCAACGAAAGAAGAAGTTCCAGGTATTCTTCCTAGTGACATTATTAATGTTGAAGATGAGCAGGCTATTCCAGAGAATGTTCAAATCCCTTTACAACCAGAAGCTTCAGTCCGTAGATCTCAGCGTGAGCGGCATTTACCAAGCCGTTTGGAGGATTATGTAGTAGGTTATGATAACGACATATCTGATAAAGAGATCGTTCAATTTGCTTTATTTGCAGATTGTGATCCTATATCATTTCAGGAGGCTGCTACAGAAACTCATTGGCTTAAAGCAATGGATGAGGAGATTTGTGCCATTGAGAAGAATGGAACTTGGGAGTTAACTGCATTACCTCCCGGAAAGAAGCCAATTGGAGTTAAGTGGGTGTACAGAACGAAGTACAAGCCGAATGGTGAGATTGACAGATTTAAAGTCAGGTTAGTAGCAAAAGGCTACAAACAGAAACCAGGTATTGATTATCTTGAGGTTTTTGCTCCAGTAAGTAGACTTGATACGGTTCAAATGCTTATTTCACTTGCTGCTCAAAATAATTGGAAATTGCATCAAATGGATGTCAAGTCTGCTTTTTTGAATGGTTTTCTGGATGAAGAAATATATGTTGAGCAACCTGCAGGCTATATAAAGAAAGGAGAAGAGAATAAGGTTTACAGGTTGAGAAAGGCCTTATATGGCTTAAAACAAGCACCAAGAGCTTGGTACGGCTGCATTGATTCTTATTTTGTTGACAATGATTTTAGGAGATGTCCTCATGAGCACACTTTGTACGTGAAGTACACAGATTCTGGTGATATAGTTATACTATGTCTTTATGTTGATGATTTGTTTTTTACCGGAAACAATCTGGAGTTAATCTCAGAATTCAAGGAGGCACTCATTAAAAGATTTGAAATGACAGATATGGGGCTTATGAGCTATTTTCTTGGGTTGGAAGTTGTTCAAATGGATGGTGGAATTTTTATCTCACAGAAGAAATATGTTGACGATATTTTAAAAAAATTCAAAATGGAAAGCTCTAAATCAGTTTCTACTCCTTTAGCCGAAAAGCTGAAGATATCCAGGGGTGAAAGTGGTAAAAATGTGAATGTGAGAGCCTATAAAAGTTTGATTGGGAGCTTGAGGTATCTGGTTTCTACATGGCCAGATATATCTTTTGGAGTTGGATTACTGAGCAGGTTCATGGAGAATCCGAAGGAATCACATTGGGCAGCGGCAAAGCGAATTCTGAGATACGTGAAAGGTACAAGAAATGATGGCATTTTTTACTCTACTAATGCAGCTGTTGAACTTGTTGGATATACAGATAGCGATTGGGCAGGGGATATTGAGACAAGAATAAGCACATCAGGATATGCTTTTTATCTTGGTTCTGCTATATTCTCTTGGTCTTCTAAGAAACAGCAGATAGTAGCTCTCTCAACCGCAGAGGCGTAATACGTTGCAGCAGCAAGCTGTGCTACTCAAGCAATTTGGATAAGAAGAATCCTGGAATTTTTACAACAAAAATCTGATACACCAACAACCATCTTTTGTGATAACAAGTCTGCAATCTCTCTGTCTAAGAATCCAGTTTTTCATAGCCGTAGCAAACATATTGATATCAAGTATCACAAAATCAGAGAACTAGTTGTGGAGAAACAAATCTGCATTGAGTATTGTCCCGGGGATTTTCAAGTTGCAGATATCTTTACAAAGCCGTTGAAGACAGAGACATTTCTCAGATTGAAGAAAGAAATTGGGATGACTAATTTATCTGACTTGGTTTAAGGGAGGCAATGTTATTATATTTAAACCAAGTCAAATGCAGTTGCTAAATAATAGGCTAGTGGTGTGAGTGTGTGTGTGGCTGTTATTCAAATAAGTGGTTTAGCTGCTACTTTATTTTAGGAAGTCAGTTGCTTAGATATAGCTTTAAATACATGTGGTTCGTAGCTCTGCATTTTAAGTTGTTCTGAGGTTTATTATTTTCAGTAAAGTTTATGCTTCAGTTTTAATCTTCTTCTTTACTATATAGATTAGTTATATCTATATATTAAATATTTCACATTTATGAAGCACTATTTTGGTCACTCTCATGTCATTATTTGTTTTCCTTTATCCATAAGTTTAAGCAGCACCTGCAGAATTATTAGATATATGTGATCGTTCTAAAACATATTACAGAGCAACCGTCTGATTAAATATTTAAATGAAGCAGCAATACTGATTGAATCAACAATCCCACATATGATGAGGCAAGAGGCCAATGGTAAACGAAGTAACGAACAGCAGTTATGAAGTTACTTCTAAAAAACACACAAGTTTAGTCTGGAAATAAAAATAAAGAGCAGACTGATTCAAGAAGTCTTATCCAGCAAGCATGAAGCGCGTTAATTAGGTCTCCGGAGTGGGTTGGGTCAAGCCAAGCTTCACCAGCAACTTATCGAGAGACTCCGGTGAGTGAACAAGGTACTTAACCTTACCTTTACAAAGGAACACCTCAGCCAGCTCAAGCTTCTCAGAGGTAAGACTAGTGCTATCCATCGTCTTGCTAAGCACCTTAAGAGCAAGCTGAACAGCCTCCTCCCTCGTGATCTCATCCTTATAGTCCTGCTTCAACATTGACTGTGCTGCCTGGTTGTTCGCCCCAATCGCAGCCGCCTTCCAGCCCCCATAGTTCCCACTCGGGTCACTCATATACAATTGAAAGCCGTAGTTCTTATCCCAGCCCGCAAACAAAAAGGAAACCCCGAACGGACGGAGTCCACCAAACTGCGTGTAACCCTGTTTGGTATCGCAGAGCGACTGGACCAGCTGTTCGACAGGCATGGGTTCTTGGTAAGAGAAAGTGTAACGTTGGGCCTGGACCCTGGCTGTGTTGATGAGGATGTTGGCATCGGACATTATTCCAGCAACGGCACAGGCCAGGTGGTCATCGATCTTGTACATCTTCTCTGTGGAAGTCGAGGTCTGGAGAAGTTTGGAAGTGACCTTTTTTTCGCCGACCAAAACAACTCCGTCTTTGGACAGTATGCCTATGGCACTTCCAGCATTTCCAATTGCCTCCATTGCATATTCGACCTGGTATAGACGGCCTTCTGGGGAGAAGATCGTGGTCCGGCTATCATATCTTCGTGACATTGTGAGTTCTGCAGGAAAAGGAACTTTTTGAGTTCACAACAAAAATAGAAATGTGCCCAAGGACCTGTTCACTTGGAGTTGTTTCAAGCCAAACCCAGACCACATTAAACAAGACTTAAAACGAACAAAGCGGCCTTAAACATATCAGACCAAACCAACAATAAACAATAATAAAATACATTAAATATCAAATCAGACCCAACTGAAACAGGCCAGACTAATTGCACTATTTCGGTCAAAATCCATGTATCTAAATAGGAGTAGACCACAGTCTGCTTAACAAAATAAGAGCGTTTAAGGTTTATCGAATTGTGCTTGCGTCTTTACAGCATAAAAACCTAAAGAGATCATACCAAACCAACAATAAACAATAATAGAATACACAACATATCAAATCAGACCCGAAACAGGCCAGACTAATTGCATTTTTTCAGTCAAATAGTAGACCAGTGTGTATATAAATATAAGAGCTTCTTAAGTTTAATGCCAACATAGGAACTCAACTACATATTGTCCCCATTAGATTATTTATCAAATTGTGCTTGCATCTTTTAAGCATAAAAAGATTAAAATGGAATCAATAATCCCATAGTTCACACCCCAAGAAAAAATTAAAATCAGCTCATAAATATTCCATCTGCAACCAAATCAAATCTGAAAAACTGAAAACAGAGCTTCTGAATACGACCAAGCATCTACACCATAACAGAAAAACTTAACCCAAAAATACCTATTCATAAGCCAAAACTTAACAATCTGAATCAGCTGAAAAAAAAAGTAATATACGAGTACCGATAGAAGTTGTTTTTGTAGAAGAGATAAAATAGATAATTCACATATGGAAAAACAAAAAATTGTTTAAAAGAGAAATGAAGAAGTTAGATAGCTTGTAATTGAGGTAATTCACATATCTTGCGTTGACCTTATTCTCTTCGTTTTTGATGGGAGGGAGCACCGGAGCAAGAAAACTAAAATGAGCAGGAGCTTCACTCTTGATAGGAGATCCCACACATGAAGAAACGTCGCTGACCAGAACAAGAAGGCGGGACTTTAGTGGTTTTGCCAGTAGCTACAAAAGTTTTAATTAAAAAAATACAGATAGCAAGAGATGCTTAACTACTATCTATGATCTCTTCTTCGAGGAAGCCTTGAAAATCATTGAAAGAGGAGTGAATCTGGATCTGAAAGAGCGTAACAGAGCCGCAGAGGAGCGAAGGGTTTTCCTCCTAATGTTGCGCGTAGTGAGCGGGCTGAAGGATGAAGAGGACTAAAGGTTGTCTAGTGGGCTTTGAGATTATCCACGGAATACTCCAAGTGGATTAACGGAATACGGATAACTGGATAAGTGGAATAACCCACTAGCTGTCTAACACAGTAACACTCTAACTATTAAGATTTAAGATTTATGAATGAATAATGAATTAACGATTCCATTTCGGTTCTAAGCCAAAATATTTATAACAAACTGGGAACCTAACGATACTATCTGATAGGAACCAAACCTATAATTTATCTAACACCGTAAATAGGAACCGAACCGAACCGTACTATATCGGTTTGGTTCCGGTCATTTTTTCGGTTCCCGGTTCTAAAATCCCAAGCCTAAAAACCTACACTCCTAGTTTGGTATTTCAGCTAAGTTTTACTCTTGTTTGGGTATTATAATACTAAATGTGTAAATGTGAGTATTAATTGTCTAGCACATAGAGTCTGCTCATTCAAGAGGCTAAAAATACTAAGCCCCCAAGTTTTTATGGATTACTCCGTCACAGAAATTTCATGAGTACAAGTCTCAAAAAAAGGTTTGACCATGTTCGTGTTTTCCCAACTTATTCTATATCTTTTTTATTTTTCTAATTCGCCACCATACTCCATACCTAAAGAATGAGATAAGTATGTCACAATAACTAAAAAAACATGCTTAAAAGGCTGATGTTTGTATAGTTGTTCAGCTGGTGCGAAGTAATCTGCTATATAAAGAAGAGACGAAACAGCCAACTGAAATGCAGAAAAAATCTTCTCTAGAATTGCAAAAAAGCTTCACAAATAGTGTTGGATGATTAAAAAAACAAGGTATAACAGTGACCTAAAAAAGTATGAATTTTACCCACTGAAATTGTCAATGGTGTATGATACGAGATAGCTACCCACTTAAAGAATATAAACCATATAAGCAATTACAATCTGTGAAATAACAAAGTATGAACTTTAATTACAACCTGTTGGTCATTACAACGTTTGTAATTCGTAGTTTCTCTCCATCTATACTTACTCTCCGTTTCTAAATCTAATCCTTAAGCAAGTCAACTTTTTTCTTTGACAAAATCTTAAGCCACCCGATTTTAATTTCAAAATTAAAATGTAAGGTTGTTTTAATTGCATCGTGTCTTCAACTGCATAGCTAAGAAATCGGTTTTAAGCTCACAAAAGATAAGTAAGATACCAACAATATATAGCGCTTTTACCAGAAAATCGAAAGTAGATTGTTTAGGAAGAGAACAATCAGATCGAGAATAAGGAGAAGCGCTGGAATTTAAAAAAGAACAATAAATATAAAACAGATATAAATTCAGAGGAATTACCGAGATGAAGAAGGAAGGGGACGAGGTTACTCTTCTCTGTTTACGGGATAGCTCGATGTGGACTCGTACTCCTATGGCGGAAGCTCGAAATGTGATGCCACTGATGCGAGCCATGAAGTATTATCGGCACTGCCTTTCTGCTCAAGACTTCTTCTTTGAGAGTGACGGATTAATTAATAAACTAAATTTGGACCCGTTTTTAATTTAGGTCCTTTAGGCCCATCTAGCACGAAATAATTGGATTTTGGACAATTCTAATCACACTTCTCAAATTGTTATTCACTTGTCACACTTCCTTTTTTTGTTTATCAAATTAATTATTCTAGTTTCTTTTTTTGGAAGAATCTCCCTCAAAAAGCACCTTCAGTACCACTACAATATCGCTACAGTACCAAAAACCTCTTACTTTTTATAAAAACTACAGTAATTGTCTTAAACTCCGTGAAAAGCAAACGAGTCATCTAATTAGATACGGATGGAGTACTTAATTAAATCAAAAATCGTTATTCACATACATTTAATTAAATTAAAATAGGGAATAAAACATTAAACAATACCAAGTATTTTTCGTGAATCAAGAATAACGCATACTTTAGAAATTATTTTTAATAATATCAGCTCTCTAAATATAGACCAAAAGTGATAGAGCAATTTTTCAATGAAAATGGATCAAAGTTTAAGAAAGTGAAAATGTATGGTTGTAATTGAGTAAGAAAAAGGTAAATAAATGCTTAGCCAAACAAAATTTTTCAAAGAGGGAAATTAGAACTGTTTTATTGAGACAGCCCAAAAAGGAAAGTGAGAATTATTTTATGGGACGAAGGGAGTATAAAATTCTAAATTACTTTGATTTATACATAGAGATTAAAACTAATTGACATTAACCGATGTTGAATTATTTCAAGAAATCAATTACATATGGAAAAGAAGTAATAATACTTAAATTATGCAATAATTCAATTCCGATCGTTACATAAATGCTAGATTGATAGATTACGTTCTAATGGAGTATTGTGAGCCCGTTTGGTAACACTAAAAATTGGCTGAATTGGCTGATTCTGCTGAAATTTATGAAGTTCTGGCTGAAGTGGCTGTATTGGCTGATTCTACTGATTCATGAAAAAATTATATTTAAAATATTTGTTATTAATAAATAAAATAAAAAATTATATGAAAAAATAGCTAAAATGATCCTCTACAGTAACTTCAGCCAATACAGCCAGAAAAGTAACTACAACCTTACTTTTTCTGCTTATTACACAATTCAGCGCGCGAAATCAAAAGTTACGTGTTTGGTGAAAAAGCTGGCTGATAAGCCTGATAAGCCGAAAAAAAGGGTCACCAAACGGGCTCTGTATTTCAACACTAAATAAATAGCCTTTACCAGTTGAAACTCTATTGAGTTTATATCATTGTGCTCTTGTTGAATAACGTTTTTGTTACATCACATTATTTGTTGGGAGCTGATGGATAGTGTACCCGAGGGGCAGCTTATCCGAGGGGTTATTGCGGAGAATAACTAGAGAGAAGTCAGAGCAAATAAGTAAGAGAGAGAGTGTATATTTGATATGTATTAAGCGTGGTTTACAATGGGGGAAAGGGGTGCTATTTATAGTGGTAATAAATGCTAGATAAGGACACGTGTCAGTTTTCTGGTGGTCGAGGGGTCACCTCGACCGGGGTGGCACTGGCACTCGCATGTGGCCGCATTAAATGCGGTGGTTGGATGTGACGTTTGTACTTGGTACGGTGATCAAGGCGCATGTGAAGAGGATATTCTGTCGAGGTGGATGCCTTCGGCTGAAGGGTGCTGGGCCGAAGGCTCTTCTAACCGAGGGCTCCTACCTGCCGAGGGCTACAGGTGCTGAAGGCTTGGTTTTCAAGCCTTGTTCTCCTGTGATGCCTCTTCTAACCGAGGGCTCCTACCTGCCGAGGGCTACAGGTGCCGAAGGCTTGGTTTTCAAGCCTTGTTCTCCTGTGATGCCTCTTCTAACCGAGGGCTCCTACCTGCCGAGGGCTGCAGTTGCCGAAGGCTTGGTTTTCAAGCCTTGTTCTCCTGTGATGTTTCTGAACTCGATTCCGTCACTGGTAGCCTTCGGCCATAGGGCCGAAGGCACCCCTTTGCGTATTGTGGGCTGCTCAGAGCTCCATTTTGCTGGGCTTGGCCCGTTTGGGCCTGTTGGGCCTGATTGTAGTAGAGGAAGTATGTGGACCGGGGGTCCCTGGGCCATATACTCCATCAGGAGTCCCCCACTCCTTTTGCCGAAAGGTACTTGAGGGAAAATGAGTAGCTGTGGTGATTTCCCCGAAGGCTTCCCTGTCCTGTTGGGTGCCTCATTTTCTCAATTCCCCCATATGTCGAGGGCTGAGAGCTTCCTGAAGGGAGTGTAAGTGTGTTGCTCGTATGTGTTTCTTTGTTGTAGTTTGTACAGTAATGAGAGATCTGCATTTGTGTGCTTTGCCGAGGGCATTTGTTGACTGAAGGCTTTGTGTGGCTGAAGGCATCATGTGGCCGAAGGCTTCATGTGGCCGAAGGCATCATGTGGCCGAAGGCATCACGTGGCCGAAGGCATCACGTGGCCGAAGGCATCATGTGGCCGGAGGCATCATGTGGCCGGAGGCATCATGTGGCCGAAGGCATCATGTGGCCGAAGGCATTGTGTGGCCGGAGGCATCATGTGGCCGAAGGCATTGTGTGGCCGGAGGCATTCTGTAAGCCGAAAGCATCACGTCGAGGGGAGTAGATTGCCATTGTGATCTTGCCTCAGCCTGCTGTAGCTGAGAAATAGAAAATTTTTAACATTTGCGTGTTTTGCCGAGGGGAGTCCCCCAGTCCCCCACTCCTTTTGCCGAGAGTTTCTCGAGGGAAACAGGAGTAGAGTGATGCATGCCTTCAGCAGGAGCCGCCGAGGGGTGACGCCTTTTGCTCCACAATGGGGAGATGCCTCGTTAAAAACCTCATTAGGAAAAAACCCTGTGGGAAAAAATCCTAATGAGGGAAAAAGAGTACACCGGATGCCCTCAGAATGAAGCAAAAGGAGTGCACCCTTCGGCCTTGATTGTTGAGCGGCGGTTGTGTCCGTCTGCTGAGGGGACATCCAAGATCAGTCTTAGATCCTGCATGAAAAAGCTAAGGAGCTTGTAAGGACCCCCCCCCCCCCCCCCCCCCCCCCGTTATCAAATAAAGGTGACGGAGGGGTGCAAGGCCAGGTGGGCTTGTGTTAGAGCCCCTGGCATCAAATACAGATGCTAGAGGGATGGAGACCGAGGGGTCTTCATGATGGCCCCCGTCATCAAATAAAGATGTCGGAGGGATGAAGGCCGAGGGGCCTGTATGATAGCTCCCGACATCAAATAAAGATGGCGGAGGGCTGAAGGCCGATGGCCTGTGTGATGGCCCTCGACATCAAATAAAGATGTCGGGGGGATGAAGGCCGATGGGCCTGTATGATAGCCTCTGGCATCAAATAAAGATGCCGGAGGGATGAAGGTCGAGGGACCTGTGTGATTGCCCCCAACATCAAATAAAGATGCCGGGGGGATGAAGGCCGATGGGCCTGTATGATAGCCCCTGACATCAAATAAAGATGTCGGAGGGATGTGATTTTGAGGCAGAGGGCCGTTGGTGATGTGAGATCACGCTAAGGCCAAGACCGTTATGACATAGAGTCATGTTGAGGCCGAGGGCCGTCTGATGTTGAGGTCGAGGGACGTTGTTGATGTTGAGGCCGAGGGCCGTCTGATGTTGAGGCCGAGGGCCATTGTGATGTGGAATCATGCTGAGGCCGAGGGCCGTTGGTGATTTTGAGGCGGAGGGTCGTCCTGATGTTGAGGCGGAGGGCCGTTGTGATGTGGGATCACGCTGAGGCCGAGGGCCGTTGGTGATGTGAGATCACGCTAAGGCCAAAACCGTTATGACATAGAGTCATGTTGAGGCCGAGGGCCGTCTGATGTTGAGGCCGAGGGCCATCGTGATGTCCTCACGCTGAGGCCGAGGGCCGTTGTTGATGTTGAGGCCGAGGGCCGTTCTGATGCTGAGGTCGAGGGACGTTGTTGATGTTGAGGCCGAGGGCCGTCTGATGTTGAGGTCGAGGGCCATTGTGATGTGGAATCATGCTGAGGTCGAGGGCCGTTGGTGATGTGAGATCACGCTAAGGCCAAAACCGTTATGACATAGAGTCATGTTGAGGCCGAGGGCCGTCTGATGTTAAGGCCGAGGGCCATTGTGATGTCCTCACGCTGAGGCCGAGGGCCGTTGTTGATGTTGAGGCCGAGGGCCGTTCTGATGCTGAGGCCGAGGGCCGTTGTGATGTGGGATCACGCTGAGGCCGAGGGCCGTTGTTGATGTTGAATCACGTTGAGGCCGAGGGCTTTTGGTGATGTTGAGGCCGAGGGCCGTCCTGATGTTGAGGCCAAGGGCCGTTGTTGATTTTGCGACCGAGGGCCGTTCTGATGTTGAGGCCGAGGGCCGTTGTTGATGTTGAGGCCGAGGGCCGTCTGATGTTGAGGCCGAGGGCCATTGTGATGTGGAATCATGCTGAGGTCGAGGGCCTTTTCTTGATAGTTCCAGGAGTCCTCTGGGTGTATGTTCCTTCTTTCAGGCATCGACCGAGGGGTTGATTTCCCGCCTCGGCCGAAAGGAGGTCCAAGTGATACGTCCGGGGGTTCGTCTGTTAGTCCCCCGGCGCTGGGCCGTCCCTTGATTGTGCCAGGAGGTCGTATGTTAGTCCTCCTGATGTGTGTTCCTTCTTCTAGGCTTCGGCCGAGGGGTTGATTCCCCGCCTCGGCCGAAAGGAGGTCCAAGTGATCCGTCCGGGGGTTCGTCTGTTAGTCCCCCGGCGCTGGGCCGTCCCTTGATTGTGCCAGGAGGTCGTATGTTAGTCCTCCTGATGTGTGTTCCTTCTTCTAGGCTTCGGCCGAGGGGGTTGCTTCCCCGCCTCGGCCGGAAGGGGGTCCAAGTGATCCGTCCGGGGGTTCGTCTGTTAGTCCCCCGGCGTTGGGCCGTCCCTTGATTGTGCCAGGAGGTCGTATGTTAGTCCTCCTGATGTGTGTTCCTTCTTCTAGGCTTCGGCCGAGGGGGTTGCTTCCCCGCCTCGGCCGGAAGGGGGTCCAAGTGATCCGTCCGGGGGTTCGTCTGTTAGTCCCCCGGCGTTGGGCCATCCCTTGATTGTGCCAGGAGGTCGTATGTTAGTCCTCCTGATG